GAGATCGGCCACTGCAACTCCAGTCTGGGGCGACAGAGCGAGACTCCGTCTCAAAAAAAAAAAAAAAGAAAAGAAAACACTGAGCCCAGGCCGGGCGCGGTGGCTCAGCCTGTAATTCCACACTTTGGGAGGGCGAGACGGGCGGATCACGAGGTCAGGAGATCAAGCCCTCTGGCAAACACGGTGAAACCCCGTCTCTACTAAAAAAGTACAAAAAAACTACTTGGGCGAGGTGGCGGGTGCCTGTAGTCCCAGCTACTCGGAGGCTGAGGCAGGGAGAATGGCGTAAAACCCGGGAGGCGGAGCTTGCAGTGAGCTGAGATCTGGCCACTGCACTCCAGCCTGGGCGACAGAGCGAGACTCCGTCTCAAAAAAAAACAACAACAACAAAAAAAGAAAACACTGAGCCCAGCTCGGTGCGGGGAGCCCTAGGTCTCCTGTCCACCAAGCCCAGAGCTGAGGAACTGGCTCCCCCATGGGCCGAGAGCTGGAAGGGGGCCCTCGGAGGAGGAGCTGTTGGGCCAGGAAACCTCTGCAGGTGGAGAGGGTGGCCAGGGCCCCCTTGGGAGTCCCCAGGGAAGGTCTGGATTCTCAGCTCTGTAGAATCAGCTTTGTCCCCAGTTCAGCACCTTTTTATGGGAAATCTGCTGGCTGGAGACAGCCCTTGATGTCCCAAGATGCTGGCTGGTCCCTGCACTTTCCAGGACCCAGCTCGCCTGCAGCACACAGATTTCCACTTGTCGTAGGAAACTGTCCTTGGCGCATCCCCTGTGCAGCCTGGCCAGCTGTGAACTGTGAGCTCCAGCCCTGCTTCGTTTGCTTCAACTTTCTGAGTGACGTGCAGACTTTCACAGGGGAACCGTGGGGTGGCTCCGTCCGACACCTCCCTTGCTGCCCCTGCATTGGAAAATAAGGACAGTGGGTGGCCTGGGCCCTGCGCATCCTCCAGAGGGTCAGGGACATGCACGGTGAGCGACTTCTGTAGGCTCGAAGGCACAGCCTGGAAGGACTGGGACACCCGTGGTCAGGGAGCAAGAAGTCACCACTGGGGGCTTAGATCTTGTTTGTTCATCTGGTAGAATTGCTGACTTTTAGAGAAAGAGACCTGAGTCTGGGCGCAGTGGCTCACGCCTGCAATCCCAGTACTTTGGAAGGCCAAGGCAGGTGGATCACCTGAGGCCAGGAGTTCAAGACCAGCCTAACCAATATGGTGAAACCCCATCTCTACTAAAAATACAAAATTTAGCCAGGCGTGGTGGTGTACGCCTGTAGTCCCAGCTACTTGGGAGGCTGAAACAGGAGAATTGCTTGAACCCAGGAGGTGGAGGTTGCAGTGAGCCAAGATTGTGCCACTGTACTCCAGCCTGGGTGACAGAGAGAAATTCCAACTCAAAAAAAAAAGAAGAAGAAGGAGAAAAAGAGAAAGTGGCTTGAAAGATATGGCCCAAAAATGGGCTGGTTTTCTGTTTCTCTTTTCCCCTGGGTGCTCCCTCGGGGACTGTCTGGAGAACCAGGCTCCAGGAGGCCCCCGTGCAGACTACTGACTGTCCTGCAAACCCTCGCACTGTGTGGCCTTGGCCTAGGGCTGCTCTCCCCTACCAGGTGCCCGAGGAGGAGGTGGCCTCTGTTCCTTCCAGCTATGCCCTCCATATGTGCCACTGGGCCCCATCACCACGAGCCCCAGCTAAGTGACAACCAACAACCCTATTTCTGTTTTTGGTTTTGTTTTAGAGACAGGGTCTTGCTCTGTTGCCCAGGCTGCAGTGCAGTGGCAAAATCTTGATTCACTGCAACCTCCACCTCCTGGGTTCAGGCAATTCTCAACACCTCTTTATTTTTATTTTATTTATTGAGACAGTCTCCCTCTGTTACCCAAGCTAGAGTCTAGTGGCACGATCTCAGCTCACTGCAACTGCTGCTTCCCTGGCTCAAGCAATCCTCCCACTTCAGCCTCCCAAGTAGCTGGGACTACAGGCACAAGCCACCATGGTTAATTTTTTGTTTTGTTTTGTTTTGTAGAGATGGCATGGGATTTTGCCATGTTGCCCAGGCTGATCTTAAACTCCTAAGCTCAAGCGATCCTCTTCCCTTGGCCTCCCAAAGTGCTAGGATTACAAGCATGAGTCACCACACCAGGGCCCTGGCTAATTTTAATTTTTGTAAAGACAGGGTCTTACACTATTGTCCAGGATGGTCTCGTCAAACTCCTGGCCTCAGGCAATCCTCCCGCCTTGGCCTCCCAAAGTGCCATATACCCCCATTTCTGGGTGAGCAGTTTCCAACTTTGTGGTGTGAGGGATGTCTGACATGAAGCTCCATCCTCCTCCCTGGGGTCCATCCTGCAGTGGAAGCCGTCCTCCCAGCCAGCTGGTGACTGAACAACAGTGCTGTGCATCCGAGCGGGACACTGGCTGAGACTCTCCTCCCCCTCCCATCCCCCTTCTGCTTTTCTCCTTGCCCATGGCCTGGCAACCTTCCCCGGGGCCAGAGGGCAGCCCAGAGTCCTGAGGCCCCAGGAAGCTATCTGGCTGCTGGAAACAGTGGCCTGATGCCCAGCAGAATCTCTGAACAGGTTCTTTGCCTGCAACCTAGGTGGAGCCAAGGCATGACTAGGATCCGAACTGGCCAGACAGTGGCCGCCAAGACCAGCCCCGCCTCCCTTCTGCCACCTTCTTCCGCGCAGGCTTCTCCATAGTGGGGCAGGCTCTCTGGACACCCCTCCGCAGTCAGGGCCCTCCCATGGCTGCCCTGCCCAGGACTGGGCACAGCTGCACTGACTGTTCCTGGCAACCTCACCTGTGCAGGCCACCTCGCTGCTTCAGCACAGTCCAGCACAGGTGTTCTCGCTCTGGGGTTGGCCTGGCACTGACCTGTGCGCCTGTGAGGGAAGGTGGGCAGCTCTGGAGCTGGCTGGTGCCCCCTGCCTGGGTGGAGGTGGGGCAGGTCCCAGATTTCTCAGAACAATTCCAGGATGCAGCTGCGTCTGGGGCCTAAGCAGAGGGGAGATATCAGGCTGGGGCTGGCTGCTGGGCCTGTCCTCTCTGAGCTGCCTCAAATCCCCTATTCCTTGAGCGGCCTTGGAGCCTGGCCTCAGACCTCAGGGCACCACACCACTTGTCTCCAGGGACCAACCTGTTCACCCCACACCCAGCCCTGTGACAGAGGTGCTGTCTCTTGGCCCCACTTACAGATGGGCCAACTGAGGCCCAGGGCATCTGCCCACTTGTTATGACAGTGAGCAGCCAAGCTGGATGTGAACCCAGGTTTTTGTACACTGCCGTCTGGCAGGGTTGGGGAGGACTTAGTGGCACCCACTGACCTCCCACTGGGGGTCGGGGTCAGGGAGTGAAGTAAGCGCCTGGCTGTCTGAGCACCCTGGGGCAGCCCCTCCAGCCTGGGAGAGCCAGCTCACTCTGGGCAGCTGGCGAGGCCAGCTCCTGCCATATTGGGTCCTTACACACCTCTCAGCTGTGAAAGCTCCTTGCTGGCCTCCAGAGAACCTTGAGGATGGCCTCACAGGCCAAACCCAGCGGCTGCACTGCCCATGGTCACCAACTCTGCAGCACGCGTGTACAACCAGTGTCCCTCCGGTGTCGCCACGCCCAGGTGCCCGGCTGTTTGTCCTGCCAGCATCGCGAGCCATTTCTGGCGCTGCCTGTGGTCTGCCGTCCTGGCACATCCTGAATGGAGGTGCACGCATAGAGACTGCCTGTGAATCTCCTGCGCCTCCTCGGAGGGATTTGCTCCCTTCTGGGACGTGCCCTGGGGACAGTCAGTTCCCCCAAATAGTGACTTCCATTCTCCACATAATGAGAGCCTTTGGCTGAAGGATTGGGAGGACCAGGAAAAAGCCTCCAGGCCACGTGGGGCGTGACTTGGCGATCCCGGTCGCTCTGGGAGTCAGCCTGGACCCCCAACGCCCGGTGGCCTGCTCTGAGGGCCACGTCCGCCGCCGAGCGCCCGGGAACCGGAGAACCCGCAGGGCGTCAGCCGGGTGGATTTCCTCCCACTGCCCCTGACCCCACTGCCCAGCGCTTTCGGGACTAGCGGATGATGGACTTGTGCTAAACTGGCTACGACCCCTCCGGAGCGGGGTCCTGGGGTAAATCAGCAGTGAGCTGCAGCCTCAGCCAGCCCCTGCCTTTGGTTTCCTCGCGCTCCCGGCTCACAACACCTCAGACCCGAACTAACTCTCCAGCCTGGGTCCCTCTACCGGACACTCCTCCCGGGCACCTCCCACGCCCCGCCCCTCAAGCCCCGCCCCTTCCTCCGGGCTCCCTCGCGTCCCGCCCCCAAGCCCCGCCCTTCATCCCGAGCTCCCCACGCCCCGCCCCGCCCCCCTCGCTCCCCACGCCCCACCCCTCAATCCCCGCCCGTCTTTCCGGGCCCCCCTGCGCCCCGCCCCCGCTCCGCCTGCTGGCGCTTCCCTGCCCCGCCCCTCTCAGCTCCACCCTCCTTCTAGGCCCCGCCCACACCCCGCCCCCATGGGCACCACCCACAAAGCCAAGCCCCGCCCCGCAGGGTCCCGCGCACTTCCCGCCCCGCCCCGCCCTGGCCCTGTCCTCAGCGCCCAGCTGGGGCCGCCGTGGCGGTGAGACCCGCAGGGGGAGGGCCGGTCCCAGCCACCTCGCCGCTCCAATTTCCTCCACGTTCACAGGCCCAGCCTGGCACTCGCCGCTCGTTCTGCGACCTCCAGGGCGAGCGCGCTTCCGGGGCGGCCGTCCAAGAGGCGTGGGAAGCGCACGGGGGATTCTGGGCGTGCAGTCGCCGCCAGCGGATGGCGAAGGGGCGGGTGGGTGAAGCGAGTTTCCAGCGTCGAGCCTGCTTCGTTTCAACGTGGACGCCACATGCAAGCCACGAGCGCAGCGCCTCACGGTGTTCGCCCTTGCTCCGGGTCCGGCGTTCTGCGGGTGCCCCAGCTGCGCTGCAGGCTTCAGTGGCACGCCCCGGGGCTGGAAGGCTGAGCCGTCCTCCTCCCATGTGCGCGGGAGACCCTCCGCCACTGTGCCCAGATCGCCGGCGAGGCGCAGGGGGACGCTGGGAAGGGCATCGGGAGACCCCGGGCCTCCTGTCCGCACACCTGTCCGAAGCCTCAATGTCTCCATTCCTTTTCGGTCTGACCTGAGAGCCGAGCTCACGGCAGGGATGGGGACCCCGGGCTTGAACTGCAGGTGCCGTGCCAATCAGGGCCCAGGCAGGAGAGGGGCGTCCCTGCATTGGGGCCCCATCATCAGGTTCGCATGGCCACTCTAGCGTGGTGGGGGAGGGCAGGGCCTTTCCCTGTCAATTCACTTCCCTGTGGGTACTCACCGACCTGTCTGTGGAAGGGCAGCAATGGTCGATTTCCCGATTAAACAAAGTATGAAGGAGGAAGAGAGGCTACAGGAATCTCCCGTCCGGGAGACCCTGTCTCTAAGGGGCCAGGCGGGGTCTTCCTGTGTCTCCTGCAGCCCTGCACAGCCCCTGTCAGAGGCACCTTCTGGAGAGAGTGGCCCACCTGTCCCGGCCTTTGCCACTGGGCGCCCTGTCCCAATTTATCCGTGTCCAGTCCGATTCGTGGTATCATGGATTGGAAAGCTGTGACAGACGCCCTGGGCTGGGAGGTATAAAACGAAACTGTTTAACTCCAGTGAAAAACAGTTGCAGGAATCCCAGAAGTGGGAAAAGGTCGTTCTGAGCAATTTCCGTGGAGTGGGTGTGATTCTGAGACTGAGGTTCCAGGGGCCGGGGTCAGTGGCTCACGCCTGTAATCCCAGCACTTTGGGAGGCCGAGGCAGGCACTTACCAGGTCAGGAGATTGAGACCATCCTGGCTAACACAGTGAAACTCCGTCTCTACTAAAAATACAAAAAATTAGCTGGGTGTGGTGGCGGGCGCCTGTAGTCCCAGCTACTCGGGAGGCTGAGGCAGGAGAATGATGTGAACCCGGGAGGCAGAGCTTGCAGTGAGCCACGATAGCGCCACTGCACTCCAGCCTGGGCGACAGAGCAAGACTCTGTCTCAAAAAAAAAAAAAGAGAGAAAAAAAAGGTTCTGGGACCCCTGGCCCAGGAGCCCCAGGCCACGGCCTCCTGCCTGGGAGGTGTGGCTCCCCATGCAGCCAGCTTCTTCCCTGCCTCAGGGGTGCGACCTGCACTCTGTCCAGGAGGAGGGGAGACTCTCTTGCCCAGGGGCAAACCTGAAAACACAGCAAGGTTAAGGGAGGAGGGCAGTTTCCTGTCAAAGTCCACATTTGTGGAAAAGCATTGATTGGGCAGAGAGAGGTGCTGTATTCTGGAATGGAGGTGAGTGGGGGCCAGTGCGGGCTGGCCGGTGAGGGTGGGTGTGATGTTTTGCCTGGCCCAGTGGAGCCGGGGTCGCAGGTTCCCAGTCTGCTGGCAGAGCTGGGTCCTGGTAGGGGCAGAGCTGGGCAGGCCCACATGGCCTGTGCATCCAGGGTGTCTTGTCCCCTCGATCCTTCAGAGGATGAGCCCCCACCCTTTGCCGGCCTTCTTGGGCGTGGTCTGATAGAGGCTGAAGACAGTCAAAGCCGCGCTCCTCTTTTCTTTTTTTTTTTTTTTTTTTCCAGACAGGGTCTTGTTCTGTCACCCAGGCTGGAGTGCAGAGGCCTGATCTCGGCTCACTGCAACCTCCATCTCCCAGGTTCAAGCGATTCTCCTGCCTCAGCCTCCCGAGTAGCTGGGATTACAGGCACGCACCACCATGCCTGGCTAATTTTTGTATTTTTAGTAGAGACGGGGTTTCATCATGTCGGTCAGGCTGGTCTTGAACTCCTGACCTCGTGATCCGCCCACCTCGGCCTCCCAACGTGCTGGGATTACAGGCGTGAGCCACTGCGCCCGGCCCGCTCTCCTCTTTTCTAGGTGAGAACAGTGAGCCCGCAAGGTCAGGGAGCTGCCCCCAGGTCATCTGGGCTGTTGAAGATGGAGGTGGCAGATGGAGGTAGGAGAGGAGGCCAGAGAGGAGCCGTGTGCTCCTGATCCCTGGCCCAGCACTCTCCTTCCCTGGCCCCCACTTGGCATCTGCCCCACCCGGGGCCCGGACTCCCACTCACGCACTGGAAACTCCCTGTCTCGGGGCCACACACACCATGCCTGGCAGGCGCCGGAGATGCAGCAGAGCAGACGCGGCCACAGGAGTAGCTGTGTTTCCTACAGTGGAGAAGGGGACCCTGGTAGGAGCACTGCCCAGCCAGGCACGTGGTGCTCAACCCTATGGGCACTGACCCCACGAAAGGCCGGGGTTTGTGCTGCGGGAGGCCTCTGTTTGGCGAGAGCTCTGTCCCGGCTCCAGTGCGGCGGCCCTCCCCCGGCCTGCTGGAATGGGACCTCATCCCTGCTCCAGCGTCATGGACTTTTCCGGCCTTGGGTTGAGGCCTCAGCGATTCAGGCGGGGCCGTTTTGCTAACACCCGTGTGTATGTGGGGGTGTGTGGGGGTGTGTGTGTGTGTGTGTGCACGCGCCTGTGTGTGCATGCGTGCAGGCATGTGAGCCTGTGTGCCCACGTGCCTGCATGTGTGTGCACGTGTGTGCAGTGTTTCTGCCCCAAGGCTGGACCCCAAGGCTCGTCTTGGGTGCAGGGTATTTTCTGTAGGGGAAACTGAGGCATGGGAGGCTCAGCCCCATGCCTGGGAGGGTGACTGCCAGCCAGTTGGCCTCAGAGCTCCCACTCCTGGGCACAATGGGCACCTGGCCCTGGGGCCTGCGCTTCTTAGCTACACACAGACTATAGCCCTGGATCCCAGGCCAGAAGTGTCCTCTCAGCCCTGCCTCCCTGGAGTGCACGTCCCCCGGCCAACCTTATGGTCTCCTTTCTTCCTTTCAACTTTACCCTCTCTCTCTCCTTTCCTCTCTCTGCCCCCCTCCTGGCAAGCGGATTGCAATCCAAACTTGTTGTTAACTTCTCCCCTGCAGTCGTCCACGGGCCCTTCCAAGTTAAACATTACTCACGGCGACAAGAGCCCGCCGGGCAGTGCCTGGCCTGGAGGTGGACCCGCGTGCGGAAGGTGCTGGGACGGGGTGAGTGCCAGGCCCCTCCCTGCAGCATCTGTGGGGCAGCTGCTGGTGCAGGTGGCCCCAGCACCCTGAGCCCATAACTGGGTCCCTGCAGCCTCTTGCCTCGCCCTTTGAAGTCATGAATGTGCCTGTTTATGTAACCCCCATGCTCGGCCAGAGCGGGTAGGCCTGTGGGCAGCAGGTCCCTGGGCAGGCTTGGGAGGGGCCAGCCAGGGGCCCCAGAGGGGTTTGGGCTGGGCCAGGCGAGAGCCCTCCCCTCGGCCGGTCACTCCAGCTCTGTGCCAGGCTAGGGGTGGGACTGGAAACAAAATGCTCAGAAAAAAAATAGCCTCATCTGTTTCGAATCGATTCCGCTGATCGGGCCCTCAGTTTTCCCAGCAGGGAAGTGGAGGGATGGGTAGTCATGGGCTCAAGCACCTCAGGGAGCCCCCACAGCCGGGGGAGGCACGAAGCCCAGACCCCACTCACCACACCCAGCAGCTGCTCCACCCTTGCCTGCCAAGAGCCTCCCAGGTTAGGAGCAGAGCCCCCCAGGCTGGGTCCCCCAGGGGAGCAAAGTTGGATGTCAACAGCAAACAGGCACGGTGTCCTCTGCCCACCCTCTGCCACCCCACCCCTCGCGTCCTCTCTTACCACTCTCTCCTCCACCTGCTGCACGCATCCTGCAGGGACCCAAGCACCGTCCTGCCCCCAGGCCTTTGCGCTGCTGGCCCCAGCCCCGAAAGCTAATCCCTCACCCATTTTAGGGCTGCTGAGATGGACCTCATAGGAAGCCCCCCTCCAACTCAGCACCTCTCCACTTACCCTGGTCTATTCCTTTTAAGAACATGGACCCCCGTCCAACAGAGAACATTTGGAGACTTAATTTTTTATACTCTCCTAGGGAAGCTGCCAGCTCTGTAGAACAGGAACTCTTTCCCGTGTGTCTGTGTGCTTGCTGTAGGGAGGCATGTAGTCTACTCCACAGAAGAAACCAGTTCCATGCTCACCCACCCAGCGCCCTCAGGGCCCAGCCCCCTGGCCTGCACCCGGACCCTGTCGGGCAGGACACATCTGGCTGACTAGAGCTCAGGCCAGGGGCCTCCTGTGGGGCTCAGCGGGGACAGCTGGAGCCTGAGCCAACAGGGGGAGGGCAGCAGGCCGAGGCACACAAAGTTCAGGGGGGCTGCTTGGTGCTGGTGGCGTTCGGCCACCCCACTTCGTGCAGGGCTATGGGCCACTCGTCCAGAAACTCCACACCCTCCATGTGAAGCTGCTCTCCTGTCCTGCTCACACCCCCAGGACCCTTCAGGCTCCCAGCCTCCCAGCCTCCCTCCTGCCTCTGTCCAGACAGAGATTGTTGGAGGAGGTGCTTCAGTGAACGCACAACGTCCACATCCCTGCTGCAGCCAGGTTCCATCCAGGGCGCACAGAACCCATCCTGGGCGCCCAAACGCTCATGGGGCCTCTGTGCCACTGGGCCCCCTCTTGAGAGGCCTCTTCTCAGCACCTCACCCTGGAATGCAGCCTTAGGGTGGGGGGTCCTCAGTGGGGGCTGGGGGAAAGGCCCTGGCTAGTGCCCTGGGGCTGTGTTCTCCAGGCACCTTGTCTGTGCACCACAGGGTCTTGAGGGGCTCTGGAGACGGGCGGCTCACCTGCCTGCCTCGTGCCCAGACCTGCGAGTGTGCCTGCCGGTGTCAGACAGAGGCGAGTTGGGACTTCATCCCTGAAATCAAGCAGGAGGGTAGGAATGTGAGCCTCGAAACCACCTTGTTTCTGTATCGTTTCTGGGAGCAGTGATGTTGGCCATTGGGACACCTGCTGAGGGTCCTGTTTTCCCATCCGGGAGCTGGTGGGACAGAGGGAGGCTGTGACCTTCACCCAGCCTGTGCCGAGAGCTCCAGCCCCCCACAGTTTCCACAGCCCTGCCTGCCACCTCCCCCACACCAGACCCTGCCCTCCTGCCCTCCATGCCTGCTTTGGGGAGGAGGCCGGGGATGGGTGGAGCTGATTTAGTCACAGGCCCTGCTTAGGCAGTGAGACCCCAGCACCCCCCCAGGTAAGGGTGCCTCGGGGGCCGGGTGGGGGTGGCTCCTCGGGGCTCCTCCTGGCCCTCTGGGGGCTGCGAAACTTTCGAGGCTGCACTTGTCCTTTTTGCAAGGCACTGCCAAGACGTGTGGCATTTCTGTGGGTCTCTGCAAGCACAGCGAAGCACACACGTGCTCCAGGGCTGGGGCTCTTCTCCTGGAGGGTGACCCTGGGAAAGGGTAGCCTTGCCCACCCAACCTTGGTCACCAGTGGCCATCCAACCCCGGGTGTCCCCATCCTCGGTTTGGGCTGAGGGCAGACTGCAGGCTGGCGTTGCAGAGGCAGCTGGGTAAAGTGTGGTCCCAGACAGGGACACAAGCTGGCAGTTACTGCGGGGACCTGGGCCTGGGCTTAGGGACTGCCGCCCCTATCCAGACGCCTGATTGGGACCAGGGTGTGGGGCTGGGCCCTGCAGCGCCTGTCTTGCCTGGGCTGGAGCCCTGGAGCTGTGCGACCTGGGGCCAGGGTGTTCTGACAGCCTCACTCTCAGGGGCTAGATGCCCTTGGGCACTACAGTGGGTGCCTAGCAGACCGTGCTATAGACCATACCCTGCTCTGGGCGTCTGTGGACTCCCTGGGCCCCTGCCACCACGGTCACTGCCTCTCTTGGGAGCAAGTTTCTTTTCTTTTCTTTTCTTTTGTTTTCTTTTTTTTTTTTTTGAGATGGAGTTTTACTCTTGTTGCCCAGGTTGGAGTGCAGTGGCACGATCTCAGCTCACTGCAAGCTCCGCCTCCCAGGTTCAAGCGATTCTCCACCTCAGCCTCCTAAGTAGCTGAGGTTACAGGTACCTGGCTAATTTTTTATATTTTTATTAGAGATGGGGTTTCATCATGTTGGCCAGGCTGGTCTCAAACTCCTGACCTCGGGTGATCCACCCGCCTCGGCCTTCCAAAGTGCAGGGATTACAGGCGTGAGCCACCGCGCCTGGCCGAGACCAAGCTGCTGCTGCTACTTTTTTGTTTGAGACGGAATCTTGCTTTGTCGCCCAGGCTGGAGTGCAGTGGTGTGATCTCAGCTCACTGCAAGCTCCGCCTCCCAGCTTCACGTCATTCTCTTGCCTCAGCCTCCCAAGTAGCTGGGACTACAGGCGCCCACCACCATGCCCAGCTAATTTGTTTTTTTGTATTTTTAGTAGCGACAGGGTTTCACTGTGTTAGCCAGGATGGTCTCGATCTCCTGACCTCATGATCCGCCCGCCTGGGCCTCCCAAAGTGCTGGGATTACAGGAATGAGCCACGGTGCCAAGAGCAAGCTTCTGATGCTGGGGCCGCAAGGAGCTTCCCAGGCCAGGCAGGTTGCTGTCTCAGCGGCAGCCTGCAGCCTCCTCCCAGGATCCGGAGCAGGAGGGTGACTGTCTTTTGCATTCAATCCGCTGGGCTGCTGCAGGGCTCCCGCAGAGCTGCTCCAAGGGGCCAAGAGAAGGAAGGACGCTGCCCCCAAGGACAGACGGGCAAGCTGGAGTCAGGAGAGGCCCAGCCGTGGCCCGCAGGCCTTGAGTCGCTGCTTGGGGGAGCGTGAGGCAGGTATGGGAGGGGGCCAGGGAAGCCCTGCAGCCCCCCCACCCCCACCCCCGGCCCCAGGCAGCAGTGCCTCCGAGGCCTGGGCGGCAGGAAGGGGAGAGATGACGTCATTGCCGCCTGGAATCTGCTGTTTGGAGGCGTCGCCATGGAGACCGGAAGGCTCAGGGTGGGTAAAAATAGCAAACCCAAGAGGGTGTAAGTTCCAAGAACCCGAGTCTCTGAAAAGCGAGGCATACATGTTCTCGTTGCCTGGAGGACAGAGGGCCCAGGCTGGGAGTCTAGCGGGAGGGGCCGCTCGGGGCTGCTGGCTTGCAGCCACCCGCACACGGTGTGTCCCCGCCACAGCCACCGAGAGCTTTGTCCCCGCGCAGGGTGTGGCGGGGGTGGCAGGCTCCCAGCAGGAGGCGTCTGCAAGCACGCTCCCTTCCTCTGCTTGGGCACCGCAGCCTGAGCCGAGGGCCGCTCTGCAGGGACTTTTCCTTCCTCGCAGAGGGGAAGCAGCCGTGGCCTGTGAGTCGCTGGGCTTCCCAGGCCTCATCCCGGCCGGAACTCCGTGCCTCCAGGCGGCCTCTGGTGGGGCGGGAGGGACCGGAGCTGGGGTTTTCGCTGCCTGGGCGGAATGCTCTTTTCCTGCCCTGCTTCTGGAGGAGGAAAGGGGCGGCCGCCTGAGGAAAGCCTCCTGCACCCCAGCCCCGTTCCTCTAGGGTGGTTTTCTAGCCAGGGAGCAGGATTTTCCTCCAGGCCAGGAGCTGGCTGGCCCGCTCCTTCTGGGCTCGGTCCCCGGAAACACCAGTACACACTGTCTGCACCTCCCTTCAGCGGTGTCCCAGTGTCCTCATGGGTCCCCCCAAGTCCCAGGCCGCAGAATACGGCAGGAGGCCCGAGGGCTCTGGGCTGCTCTCCCCAGATGGCTGAGTCCGTGGAGAACCCCTGCAGCCGCGAGGGGCTCCCTGGCCCGGTGCCATGTCTGAGAAACTCTGCCCTGTCTTTGCTCTCGGTGTTGCTGGGGCCTCCTCTCTCCCAGGCCAGGCTGCACCAGGGCATGGAGGGGACCTTGCCTGGCGGCTTCCTCCAGCCGCACGAGCCTGGGCAGAAGTGTCATTGGGCTCAGGGACCCTCAGATGGCCCAAAACGACCCAGGAGCCCTCAGATGGCCCAAAACGACCCAGGAGCCCTCAGAAGGCCCCAAATGACCCAGGAGCCCTCAGAAGGCCCAAGAGCACCCTGGGTGGGGAAGGGTCCAGGGTGATTCCCAGCCCCGAGAAATGAAGCCCCATTCCGGGAGGGTCACTGTCCCCGGGCAAGGGGTGACCGTCCCTGGTTGGGAGGCAACTGCCCACTACAGCAATGAACATTCTCCTGAGCAGCCTGGGGAACCCTTTCCTCCCTCCGTGCCGGGGGCTGGTGGGGCTGAGTCTCTGTCCGCCGCTCCCTGGGTGCTAAATCCTGGCACATCTTCAAAGAGTTTCAGTCCCTTCTCTTCTGCACATACCATTGTTCTCAGGGTGGCCGGGCAGCCCCTTCCTCCACCCAGGGCAGGGGAGCACGGGGTCACCTCTCACGCCCAGCCCTCCCTCGGCTCATGGTGGTCTGTGGCTGGAGAGGGTGAGGGGATGTAGAGCCCCGTGTAGGGGTCGCTCATTCCCCCAAGACATAGCTCACATGCCTTATGTAACTCGTGAGCTCACGCAGAGGGCCTGCCAGAAATGACGGCAGGGGCGGGAGGGGCCTGCTCGGGAAGCCAAGTGTGGCTCAGGCTTACGAGGAGCCAGTCGGGCCCTGCCTCGAGGAGAGAGGGGCCCGAGCCTTTGCAACCTGGGGCTCCTACGCTGTGGCAGGGGATGGGCAGGGCCTGGGACGGAGCGAAGGCCGGGGTGGTGCAGTGTATGGCTAGGCCTGGGATGGCTGTGCTGGTCACTTGGCCTGTGGGTAACTGGCCAAGCAGGATGTGGGCCCAGGCCCACCCCACTCCCCCACCAGCAGGCGCCAGCAGGCCCGTGATGTCAGAGGAAGGGCCTAAGTCAGCCAAGACCCCCGGGAGCAGCTCTGGGGGCCTCGGAGGGGTGGGTGGGTGGAGGCAGTGCTGTCTCCCCCAGTGCCAGCTGCCCTTCCACCCCCAAACACAGACCAGGGCGGATGCTGCACTGAGGATGGCCCTGAGGCAGGGCTGGACCCAGTGCCCAAGGCTGTCCCTGCCCTTCCTCCCTTCCCTTTTGGAGTCCCGTGCTTCCCCTCTGCCTGCTGCACAGGCCCCCACGCTGTGGCTGGCCCAGCCCAGTTTCACTCCTGGAATGGGACCCCGGGTCCCAAGAAGGGCAAGGGCTTCAGGGAGGCTGTGGCAAGGGCCTCTGGGCAGCACTTGAGGCCTAGGTGACAGCACGGGTCCTCAGGGCAGTGCCCCCAGCCAAGAGCGAGCCATCCCTCCAAACACAGTACCAAGGGGCACCTGGCCTGGGGACCCGTGTCCCGCCAGAGGCAGGGCCTGGCATAGCTGCACCTCACCGGGCCCAGGCCGGCCATTGGCCAGCCTGTTGCTGGGAAGGCAGCCAGCCCCTGATAGGAAAGGGGTAACGGGGAGTCCAACTAGGAGGAAGCGGATGCCGGGACGGGGAGGCCAGCCCTCCGGCCTGAGGAGGGCAGAACACTGGCAGGGGTCCCTGGCAGGGTCTCGGACTGTGCCTTCGAGCCCTTAAGCAGGAGAATGGGATGGGTGGGGGCTCTCTGAGGGGGCCAAGGGCGGTGCTGGGAGCCCAGTGTGGGGCAGACCCTGCTCTTAGGAAGGCTGGCCAAGGGGCCATGGCCCTAGACAGAGGGTGGGGCTGTGTCCTGCTGCTGAGGGGGAGGGGTGAGGATGGGGGCAAGGGGCGTCCATGCAGAGGCAGAGAGCAGGAGGTAAGGGGCTGGGCTCCTGGGACGGCTTGGCCTGAGCCTGGAGGCTGCAGCCCCTCTGAGTAGCGGGAAGGTGGCTGCGGGCAGGTGCCGTGGGTGACTGAAGGGTAGGACCTGTGTGAAGGACCCCTTGCTGCCCTTGGGACCACTGGGCCCCTGAGATCTGGCTCTCACACATGCCCTGCCCTCACCTGACCTCCCGCCCCGATCAGCCACATGCTCCAGCAGGTCCCAGGTTGCCCTGAGCCTCAGCGTGCTCTGGTCTGTGTATGGTGGTAATGCCACCTGGCTCAGCAAGTCGAGGGAAAACCAGCCCTGGCACCTGGGTCCCACAGTGCCTGTGATGACTCATGAGGTTCCGCCATTGCAGCCAGCAGTGCCACGGCTCAGGCCCCTGGAAAGCACTGTGGAGATGGTCCCCCACTTTGGGAAGTGCTGGCTGAAAACTTCTTGTGGGCAAGGACAGCACCCTTCTGTCCCCATTGCATCCCCTGTGCCCAGCTCATGGTGCTCAGTGTTGTGTGCCGGGTAAAGGACAGCAGCCAGGGCCTTGGAGGATGCTGGTGATGCCCCGGCCATCGCTGGGTCCCTGGCTCTCGCTCTGTCCCCACTGTTTGACATGTACCTGCTTCAGCTAAGCCAAGAGTGAGCTCTGGCCCTAGGGTCCCAGGCTCAGTGAAGTGCTGAGGGCACTCGGGGAGGTGGCAGTGAATGACTGGGGTGACATGGCATGGCTGCAGCCCTGGGCAGCCATAACCAGCACAGCGCACAATCCAGGGCAGCACAGGATGCCCCCAGGACAGGGTCCAGTGGGCAAGGGTGGCAGGGCTGGGTGCCCACACTGGCTCTTAAATTCAGCACACGGCCCCCCAGGCTGGGCCTCACCAGTGACCCCCTGGCTGTCCATAGGCTGTGGACGCGTCCTCAGAGCCAGGCTGCGGGCTGCTGAGGGTGCTGAGACCTCTGTGCCCCTCCCTCCCTCAGGCCCATCTTCCTGCTGCTGCGCCCTCAGCCTCCAAGGTCCCTGTGGCCCTGGGCAGGGGCTGCCAGGGGTCTCCTGCAGGAAAAGGAGCCTGAGAGAGCCAGCCTTGTCTCCCTAGCCTGGGACTGGGCCAGGCCCTGTCATACTCTGGGTGTGAGCTCAAGGTGGGGTTGGATGGACAACTGGCTCCCGGGATGGCCCAATGCCTGGCCCAGGCTGTCCAAGCCTGGGCAGCCACATTGCTGTCCTACCTGGCTTCGTCCTTGTGGGGAGTGGGCAGGAGCTGGGCTCTGGCTCTGAGTGGGGTGGTCGGCCAGCCACCTGCTCTCACCCTCTGGTTCCCAATGGCCACAACGGCAGGATCATCCGTGGCCCCCCGGGGGCAGGCGCCCTGCTCAGCGCTTCCCATGCATCCCCTCGGGTGACCCCAAGAGGCAGGCCCTGGCTCCGGGACCACCACAGGGAGGCTGACACACACCTGAGGCCACCTGGGCCCGGTACAGGTCAGGCAACTGATTTCACAGAAGACCCCACGGCAGGCAAGGGCTCTCCTGGGGAGAAGGGCTCTGAGAGAAACAACAGAAAAGGCAAATAAAACTGAAGGCAGCTTCCTTAGAAAACCAGAGAATGGGTCGGGCGTGGTGGCTCACGCCTGTGATCCCAGGACTTCGGGAGGCCGAGGCAGGTGGATCATGAGGTCAGGGGATCGAGACCATCCTGGCCAACGTGGTGAAACCCCATATCTACTAAACATAAAAAAATTAGCCAGGTGTGGTGGTGGGCACCTGTAGTCCCAGCCACTCAGGAGGCTGAGGCAGGAGAATGGCGTGAACCCGGGGATGGAGGTTGCAGTGAGCTGAGATTGCAGCACTGCACTCCAGCCTGGGCGACAGAGCGAGACTCTGTCTCAAAAAAAAAAGAAAGCCAGAAACTGCCGGCCAGGTGTGGTGGCTCATGCCTGTAATCCCAGCACTTTGAGAGGCTGAGGCGGGCGGATCACCTGAGGACAAGAGTTCAAGACCAGCCTGGCCAACATAGTGAAACCTTGTCTCTGCTAAAAATACAAAAATTAGCTCTGCATGGTGGCATGCACCTGTAATCCCAGCTACTACGGAGGCTTAGGCATGAGAATTGCTTGAACCCTGGAGGTGGAGGTTGCAGTGAGCTGAAATCACGCTGCTGCACTCCAGCCTGAGTGACGGAGAGAGATTCTGTCTCAAAAAAAAAGAAAGAAAGAAAGAAAGAAAACTAGGCCAGGTGCAATGGCTCACGCCTGTAATCCCAGCACTTTGGGAGGCCGAGGTGGGCAGATCACCTGAGGTCGGGAGTTCGAGGCCAGCCTGACCAACATGGAGAAACTCTGTCTCTATTAAAAATCAAAAAATGTAGCCTGACGTGGTGGCACACGCCTATAAATCCCAGACTTTTACTCGGGAGGCTGACGGCATGGGAGAATCCACTTGGAACCCGGGAGGCCAGGAGGTTGCGGTGAGCTGAGATCCACGCCATTGCACTCCAGCCTGGGCAACAAAGAGCAAAAACTTCGTCTTAAAAATAAAGGGGGAGGCCGGGCGTGGTGGTCAAGCCTGTAATCCCAGCACTTTGGGAGGCGAGACGGGCGATCACGCGGGTCGGGAGATCAAGACCCATCCTGGAGGCCCGGGCCGGTGGCTCAAGCCTTAATCCCAGCACTTTGGGAGGGCCGAGACGGCGGATCACGAGGTCAGGAAGATCAAGACCATCCTGGCGAACACGGTGAAACCCGTCTTCTATTAAGAATACAAAAAAACTAGCGGGCGAGTTGGCGGGCGCCTGTAGTCCAGCTACTCGGGAGCAGGCTGGGGGGAGAATGGCGTGAACCCGGGAGGCGGAGCTTGCAGTGAGCTGAGATCCGGCCACTGCCACTCCCAGCCTGGGCGACAGAGCGGAGACTCCGTCTCAACAAAAAAAAAAAAAAAAAAAAAAAAGACCATCCTGGCTAACACAGTGAAGAACCCCGTCTCTACTAAAAAATACAAAAACTAGCTGGGGGGATGGCGCGCCTATAGTCTAGGCTACTGGAGCTGAGGGCAGGAGAATGGCGTGAACCTGGGAGGCAGAGCTTGCAGTCTGAGACCCCCCACTGCATTCAGCCTGTGACAGAGCAAGACTCCGTCCTCAAAAATAAAAATAAAATAAAATAAATAAAATAAGAATAAAATAAAAGGGGGGCCGGGCGCATCTACGCGGTGTAATCCCAGCACTTTGGAAGCCGAGGTGGCGATCACGAGTCAGGAGATCAAGAACCATCCTGGCTAAAACGGTGAAACCCCGTCTCTACTAAAAATACAAGACAAATTAGCCGGTGCGTGGCGCGGTAGTCCCAGCTACTCGGGAGGCTGAGGCAGGAGAATGGCATGAACCTGGGAGGTGGAGCTTGCAGTGAGTCGATATTGTGCCACTGCACTCCAGCCTGGGCAACAGAGTGAGACTCTGTCTCAAAAAAAAAGAAGGAAAACTAGAAATTGCAGGTCAGCACAAAAGAGAAACTTTAAGACAGCTATAGATTCTTCACTTGGCAAAAATCACTTTCTTGTTTTTTGTTATATGATCTGAAGACTATAACATTCTAAGTACCGTGTGAGCTACATCTAGGAATTTTCATTGACAGTGTTTTCATTATCATTCAATTTAAAACATGTTGTGGTTTCCATTTTGATTCCTTCTTTAATTGATGACGTGTCCAAAGTATTTTGCAATGTCCCAGATAATGGTGATTTTTGATGGGAATGTGTATTTTTCTTTGTTATTTATTTTTATTTTATTTTTTGAGATGAAGTCTTGCTCTGTTGCCCAGGCTGAAGTGCACTAGCGCAATCTCAGCTCACTGCAACCTCCACTTCCTGAGTACAAGTGATTCTCCTGCCTCAGCCTCCCGAGTAGCTGGGACTATAGGCACATGCTACCATACCCGGCTAATTTTTGTATTTTTAGTAGATGGGGTTTCACCAGGCTGGTCTCGAACTCCTGCCCTCAGGTGATCCGCCCGCCTCAGCCTACCAAAGTGCTGGGATTACAGGTGTGAGCCACTGCCCCCAGCCTGTTATTTTTCATTTGGAATTCTAGTGTGTTTCTTTATTTTAATAGCTACCAAAGAAATACAGATATATAGAGATATATAGATAAAAGAAAGGAAAAAAACCCTCAAAGTGAGTACAGTTTAAATATTGAAACTGTAGATCTGTAGAAACTATTTATCTGTGGAACTCACCAAGCCCTAGCCCTCCTTTGCTCCTCCATGATGGCCCTGGCATCAGCCTCTTTCAAAGCTTTCAGCCATTTTTTTTGTCTTAGCTCTCTCCATACTTCTAAATTGTGTGCTCTCGCTGCCCCTTCTTGGTTTAGCAGCTTTA